AAGGGGAGCTAAAATTTTAACAACAAGAAACTAGTGGAGCCAACTAAGGTTGAACGATAGATTGTTGTTAAACATCTCGACATGATGTGGTCTGAATGGCTTTGTTCGTGGTCCAATTAGATGTGGAGACATGAAAGGAATTAGGATAAATCATCCTTGTGATGTGTTTCAAAAGTCAAATCAGAACAGTCGATGCTCTCCTAATTAATCTCTGCTGAGTTTAGCATATCTACATCTACGTTCTTCAAAGATGATAGATTCTCCTTTCAAAGGTGAAAGCTTTATTGGATTTCTACACAAGTCCATACGAATAAAGCCGGTGTTATTAAAGATAAAATGGGGCAACAAGGTCATAATTCTGACTGCAGCAAGAGTTCCATAAATGAAATATTTTCTTCTGAAACTTTAATGCAAATGAAGCAATGAAGACACAAAGATTGCTCTTCCAAAAAAAAGAGAATGTCAGCTTGAAATGATATTTTAACTAAGTGAAGGAATATCGAGTTTGTCACTTTAAAGTCAAATAAATATGGACTTAACATTCATGCATCATATTTAGGCATTTACAAAAATAGGGGCATTTTCATTCATTTTATCAATGTTAAATATTTTACAGTAATTCCAAAAGTTAGAAAAGATTTCAGAAAATATTCGAAACCTCACTTGAGGGATCAACATTTCCATAAGGAGTTCGTCATAAGAGAAACTCATCTGAAGAGGAATAAGAAGTTCATAATCTGAAAAACTTATTCAACTTTTTACTCGACTCTATCGCAGAAGGAGATAGAGCAACATCAACATTTCCAGAAGGAGTTCTTAATAAGAAGAACTCATCTAAAGAGGAAAAAGAAGTTCATAATCTAAAGAACTTATTCAACCTTTTGCTCGACTCTATCGCAGAAAAAGATAGAGCAACATCAACATTTCCAGAAGAAGTTCATAATAAGAAGAACTCATCTGAAGAGGAAGAAGAAGTTCATAATCTGAAGAACTTATTCAAGCTTTTGCTCGGCTATATCGTAGAAGGAGATAGAGCAGCATCAACATTTCCAGAAGAAGTTCGTAATAAGAAGAACTCATCTGAAGAGGAAGAAGAACTTCATAATCTGAAGAACTTATTCAAGTTTTTGCTCGACCCTATCCCAGAAGGAGATAGAGCAGCATCAACATTTCCAGAAAGAGTTCGTAATAAGAAGAACTCATCTGAAGATGAAGGATAAGTTCATAATCTGAAGAACTTATTAAACCTTTTGCTCAATTCTATTACAGAAAAAGATAGAGCATTATCAACATTTTCGTCTTAATAAAGAGAAGTCAACTGGACAAAAATGTATTGTCTTTTCGTCTTTTCCCTATTCTTGTTAACACAAGAATGAGCAAAGAGGGGTAGGTTTTTGTCCCTTTTTATTTATTATGTTTATATTATTATTATTATTATTATTATTTATTATTAATATTAATATTAATATTATTATTATTATTAAAATAATTATTATTACAGGCCCATTTTATAATAAACTCGGAGGCCCAGATCCAAAAGCCCAACCCGGTCCAAACCCAGTTTAATAGCAGACCCGATCCAAGCCCAAACCCGAGAAGCCCAAAACCCTAATGAATCTAGGGTTTCATCACCCTATCTCAACCAGCGTCACCGTCTTGGATCGAACAAAGCTCGTCGCCGCTCCACTGCCAGGTATTCCAACCAGACACTACCGACGCCCAAATGCTGCCATGCCTCCGTCGAAGCCTCCAGAAGGTCTACACCAGCCGCACACGTCGCAGCTTTAGGGTGAGTCACCACCATAGTTCGATGACTCACTTAAAGGAGCCCTATTATCCGGTCTGAAGCGAACACCTTGGTGACTATAAAACCACCAAACCTTCGAGGAAAAAAGAAGAAACACAGCAAGCAACGACCAACAACAAGCACCACCAACGAACATCAAAACTGAATACGAAACACACGAGCAAAAGATAACCCACAGACAGCAAATAACGACAAAGGAGAGGAAAATGGAGCAGCTTACCCTCAGAGAGACCAAACGCCACCGGAAACCTCTATGTAAACTGAGGTAAAACCTTCAATTATCGCTTAGATCTACTAATTTTGAGGGATTTTAGGACTAAAAAAGGTTAGATCTGGGTTCAGGTGGAAAAGATGGCCATTTTGGGGTAAGTTTGTAAATTTCGGCCACCGCTCACAGTGGCCGGCGGTGGTGGCCGGTGTTGTAGCAAGGCGGTTGGCCGGTGACCGGTTTCCCTCCGGCGAGGGAAAACTAAAGAGAGGACAGAGAGCATTTTTATCTCTCTCTTTTAGAGAGAGAGAAAAATAAAAAATGAAAAAATGGTCTTTGAGGGTAGGTTTTAGGGTATTTAAACCCCTTCCCGAACGACGTCGTTTTGGGGAGGGGTGTGTGTGTAATTTCCCTCAGGGAAAATCCCGTGCGTAGTCCTCCTGACTTTGTAAACCTTCTATTTTAGTCACTAAAACAATTTATGTGTTTCGATTCGGTCTTTTAATTTAATTTAATTTATATTTTAGTCCTTATCAATATTTATATGTATTTAGGGTAAACATCATTTTTAGTCCCTAAAATTTTCATAATTTTTATTTTAATCCTGAATAATTGATTAAGGCTAAATTACATTATTAACACCTATATTTTATGATATTTCAAATTAGTATCTTCAATTTTGATATTTTACGTTTTAATCCATGGTAATTTAAATAAATTGTATTTCCAACCATAAATTTTATTACTTTTTAATTTAATCCTATAATTTTATATTTTAAGTATATTTTGATATATTTAAGGATGATATTTATTTATTTTTTAATATTAGGAAAGAGGTTGTCTTAAAGTAACTAGATGTCATTTTCTGATATTTTTTAAATAAATAAATAACCTACTTATAAAAAATATATATATTTAATTTAGTTTTATTTAAATCATTTTAATATGATTTTCTTAAGAAAAATTATCATATTTTTATTAATATTTATTTATTTTTTAATATTAAGAAAGGGTTGTCTTAAAGTAACTAGATGTCATTTTCTGATATTTTTAAATAAATAAATACCCTATTTATAAAACCCTAAATATATATATATATATATATATATATATATATATATATTAGTTTTATAAAAATAATTTTAATATATTTTTCCTTATAATTATCCGATTGAATTTGAAATAATAGGATAGTAAATTGAATTTATATTCGAATTCTTATATTTCCGCTAATAGAGAATTTATAATCGACAGATACCAATTTTAGGCGTTGTAGGGGTGTTAATCCTTCCTCAAACGTAACCGGCCACAAATCCCTTTTTATTACTAAAAAGAATGAATTTTTGGTTATAGGCGGACTGATTTATCTTTTAACTGATGTTTTCTTAAAAACTCTTTTAAAAGATGATTTTTAGATATTCGACCTATCTAACCCAAAATGTCGATGGCGACTCCTAAAAATTTTAATAAAAACCATTTATTTATTCAATTACTTTTTCCACCAAGAAGAAAATTCGTGCCCGGACAAAAACCGGTTACGACAAAAATATTTTCATTAAAATCACTATCTCTAAAGAAAATTTTTATTTCGATTACTATACTGTTAAATCATTAATAGCAACTGACGTGGTATGCTCGCATGTCAACGAAAGTTGAATCAACATGATTATATACCATTTTCTTACTAAATAAATTTCATTTGAGCCTGTGATCCTTATTAAAGTATTTAAGACTTAACCATCAAATTTAATTAATTTAAATATATTTTTTTATAAAATAATATTTAGAAAATGACTTTCAATTGTGCCCTCTAACATTTGGTTCGTCCTCATTACAATTGTATATTGCTTCAACACCACTTATGTGTCCTTTAGCTTTTACTTCATTTCCAAATATTCAGAGCAAAGATTTAAATTGCGAGTGTGTGTAGGTGCGTTTTTTGTTACATTGTGTTTATATTGATTACAGATATAACATATTTATTATGATAATTATAAATATCACGATCATACAATAATGATTTCAGAAGACACTACTATTATTATATAACAATCGATATTCTAATAATATACCACTATAAATTATTGATATGGAGCTTGTGGCACAACAAAGTTCACCTTACTCCTGTTCTGATTAATCTAGAACAATCCGCATCGAACAACTAATTTTGGTGGGTGAGTCTCTCAACAGGAATTTTCTTCATACTCAAGACTTCGAACTCAAAATTTGCTTAAGCGATATCAAGCTACTTACCAGTTGAACCAACTTGTTTGTCAACGAAGTCAAATTTAACACATTTGTTAGACAATACAAACCCTTACGCTCAACCATCGATGCAAGTCTCAAATTACTGGCAATCCGAGTTGTTATATAACTTCTTAAATTAAAAGTTAATATTTGATCGAGTTGAGTTAAATAAAAAAATAAAGGTAATTGAGTTAACAAGGCATATTTTATAACAAAAATTTTATTTTAAAAAATTTCAAGTTGAGTCGAGTTATTCGAGTTTATGTCTGAATTTAATTGTAAATATTTATAATGTTATGGTACTAATTGATTATAATTTAAATGACTTTTTAATCGTATACAATATACATATATATTTCTTCATATTTTTCATATATGATATGCATATATCATGTAGAATTGAACTTAAAATCAATTCACTAATTACTAAAAAATTGAGTTATTTAAGTTATATTTTATAACTCAAACTTTATTTAAAAAAGTATACGTCGATGACAAATCGATCGAAACTTTCTCTTGAAACTATTCTCCCACGAGAAATGTAATCATTCAACTTTTTTGGGCACAACAAAACTTGGATGTGTTAAAAAAATAAAGACAGGTAACTCATGCAGTGGTACTCTCAATCAAGTCTCTCAGCTTCCAAACTCCGACTATAAATACTCTTAAAATCCCAACGAACAGATTACAAAACTGAGAAACAGAATCAACACAAGATTCAGAAAGCTAAAATCAGCCATGGAAGTTGTCAATTCAGTGTCATCTCTCAGGTCCCAAGCAGCAGCAGCAGCATTACTTGTGTTGCTGACCGTAGCAGCAGTGCGCACCCAGACGGCTAAGGCACAAAGCTGCACCACTCAGCTGACTAACTTGAACGTGTGCGCACCGTTTGTGGTCCCTGGTGCCACCCAAACCAACCCTAGTCCCGACTGCTGTGCTGCACTCCAATCTGTGCAACATGACTGCTTCTGCAGCACTCTCAGTATTGCCTCTCGGCTCCCTTCTCAATGCAATTTGCCACCTCTTACTTGTGGTAACTGATGGTAAGTCCTCTGCTTTGCCTTTTTTCATTCTTCAATCTTGCTCGTAATGAGATAGCATCTCTTCATATGCAGATATGCAGATTAGGGCATGATTGTTATGCAAAAGTGGTACAAGCTAGAAAGAATAAGGCTGCAAATTTATTATCTTGTTTGTTTCTATGTTTTTTTCAGTGTGCATTTCGATCTGTGACCAAGCAATGCCAGAGTGATCAAAGAGAAGTTGATGAAGTGTAATTTTTTTTCTAAGTAGAGGACTGTCGTTAATGAAATGAAGAGCTTACAAAGTTGGAAAGAGCTAATGCAACACACAACATAATTCCATGAAAATCAAAATAATTTGATAAAACAGTACTCAACTTATATGATTGCCAGAAATAGTAATTAAAATGAGACAAGTGTAGAATAAGACACACAAGAAATAAGATTTAATATGGTTCAACCTTGTCTACTTCAACAAATAAGAAGAACAATAATTCACTATAAACTTAAAGATAAAAAAATATAAATATATGATATTTCCATCAACATTGCACACCTCCCCATTCGCATTTGCCCTTTACTCATCTCCTTCGGGATGTTGCCAATGTATTGTCAATTTGTTGTTGACTCGAAGAGACTCTCCTTGGCATCAGCAATTGTTGCAAATTTTTACTTTACATCCATGTGATATATCAAAATCAAATTTATCATCACTTGATTATATCCATTTAATCTATTGATAACCATAACATCTCTGCACCATCTCTAAGGATCACTATTAGACCTCTCGACCAAAAGTGAGAGAAAGGATGGAACCACCTCGCCTTCACTCCATTTTATTCTATCTCCTTATCAAGATAAAACACTTTAACACAGTGGATCTACCATTTATGTCTCTCCGACTAAATTAGCAGAGGTGAATCACATATATAACCATTATAACCCATTTGATTCTATCGATAAATTTTTAAAATTGACATTAAATTGATAAAAAAAATATAAAAATCAATTGTTAATTTTTTATTATATTAATGATAAAATAATCAATTTAAGAAATCAATGAATTTAGTGGTGAAAATGCAGCTTTTAATAATTTGATAACCAAAATATAAACTTATTAACAGTTAGTGACTTACAGGTGCAGTTTATCTTTTACTTATTAAATTGTTATGATTAATCAAATCTTTGCTTTTGTAAAAATAAAAAATAAAAAAGGGTAAACTATACGTTTTGTTGATAAATCGGGCAAAGTAAACGAAAGAACACAAGAATTTTAACGAGGTTCGGCAATGTGCTTACATCCTCGGTGCCTAGGCGGCGCTAGAAAATTTTTATTCAATGATAATAGGTTTAGGTTACATCTCTATTTATAATAGAAAACCCTGGTACATAATTCCAAAATTAACCCTGTACCGTACCAAGGGCTACAGCCCCCGCACCCCCAACCCACATAATCGTAACCCCCTCTACAAGACTTTCTTTGTAAGGACAGTTGATCTTCGCTCACTCCGCTCCATCCCCTGTCCTCTTTACCGGTATATTTATGAGTCATACCTTACACGTTTAGTACCTAAATGTTTATTTTTGTTTCGTTTTGATACCTAAACTTTATTTTTTTAAATAATATCAACATTTAGTTTAAGATTCAATTTGATACCTGATTATTTAAAAATAATAAAACTATTGACGTGATATTTTTTTTTATTTTTTTCAATGATGACGTGACATTATCTTATGATAACACGTCAACATCACCATTAAATTTTTAAGGACGGGTACCAAAATAAAACTTAAACTAAACTTTAGGTATGATTTTGAAAAAAATAAAGTTTATACCAAAATGGAACAAAAGTTATAGCTTAGGTACTAAAAGTATATTTTACCCAAATAAATATTTTTATTGTAGTTATCTCATGAACAAAACGAATTTAAATTATTAAAGTTTTGCTCATGGAGCTTTAAATGGTTTTTTTTCTTGTTTTTCTTAATATTTTATTAAATCTGGACTTTTTTTAATATTAAACAAACCAGTAACATGTTTGAGTTTGACCACATACTATCTTCTGTGCTTACTTGACTAACAAGTGATCAATTGCCAATATCATTATTTTTTTTTATAAAGAACACAAATGATTCCCTGACTATAAGATACTATTTTGTTGAGTCATCGACTATTAAAAATTTTACAAAAATGGTCTCCCAACTACAGGGTATTGTTTTATTGAGTCCCTCAACTATTAAAAGTTATAAAATAGTCATTTGACTATTCATTATGTTCCAAACTCGTCATTTTCTATTAAAAAATTAACAGTCGTTTGAACTGGACGTTAACATGCTGATTAGGATATAATAATCGTTTGAGATTATGATATCAAATTTTATCATATCTCAATTAGTAGGTTAACGTCCAGCTTAGAATGTCGTCAATATTTTAACGAAAAAGGACGAGTTTAAAATATATGAATAGTCGAGTGATTATTTTATGACTTTTAATATTCGGAGACTCAACAAAATAACGTCTTATAGTCAATGAATTATTTTATAACTTTTAATAGTCAAAGGACTCAACAAAGTAACACCCTATAGTCTGAAGATCATTTGTGTACTTTACCCTATTTTTTATATATACTTTCTGTTGGTTCTTTAATTAAATCTAAATAAATAAAAAAAGTTTATGCTTATTACAGATAAATTAACCAATGACTATTTCAATTGTCAAGATAACATGTAATATCGGATAAATAATGTCTTATTTTCGTCCAAATTAGTAAACATTATGCGTTAATAGCAAGAAAAATCTTAATTTAACAATATTTGTAGGATCTTATGTGTCAAAATAGACGAAAATAGGATGATTTATTTACTATTTTAAGAGAAATATTTACATCAAATATATTATTTTAATTGATTGATATATTAATTCTACTTTTTTTATATATCACCTCAATTAATGCATCTGCAAAAATAAAATATAATTAATATATGCACGTGCGTATGTATTTTAATTTAATAAAAATAATATCTTACTTTTTTTTACTAAAAATAATATCTTACTTGACTGTAAAGTAATATATTTGATATAATAAATATCTATATATAAATACATATCATACTATGTCAAAAAAAATAGATATCATACACGTTACTTAGCAAACGCTTTACTATATAGTCTCGTCCTCCTACTGTCAAAGAGAAAAACAAAGAAACAGACGAAGAAAACTGATCTTTGGCTGTGACCACCGACAGAAATTTGCAAGGTATTAGCTTCTTTCTTCTTAAAATATTAGGGTTGTTCTTTCATACTGCTAATCATAGTGTTTACAGTGAAGGAGAAAGAGCTTTTCCTTGTATTTTGTGCTTTGGATTCTGGGTTTTGTTTCTTGTTTAAAATATTTCGTTTGGGGTCCTTGTCATTGTCAAATATAGTTGACAAACAATTTGGTCAAACGTGCAGCTTCCAAAGAAAACAATTATTTTTTCACATTTGTCAGTGTTTGCATGGCGGTTTCTCTTCTCCGTTTTCGTCTTTCACAAACCGACTTTATTATATTTTGTTCTGAACTTGGGTGTGCAGTAAAGAATGGATAGACATAGTGGGATTGGAGTAGCAGAAAAGTTTGATCCTGGTTTATTTGGGACCATGAACGGAGATGGATACGAGAGTAGTGATAGCTTTGAAGTTCCACCACCTGATAATGGAGGACCGTCTGCGAAAAAGAAGAAGTTCCGTAGGCACACTCCCCATCAAATACAAGAGCTTGAATCGTATGATTCTTCCTCTTCTTTTTGTAAATCTGTTTCTCAAATATTTATTGGGTTTTGCTTATCATTGTTTTTTGTTGTTCAGTTTCTTCAAGGATTGTCCTCACCCTGACGAAAAACAAACAAGGGAACTTAGCAAGAGATTAGGGTTAGAGAAGAAGCAAATCAAATTTTGGTTTCAAAACAGGAGAACCCAAATGAAGGTAAGTTGATCGTCTTTGTTTTGATTCTTGACGGTTGAGTTTGGGATTTTGCTAATGATTAAAATTTAAACAGGCACAACTGGAACGCAATGAAACTGCATTTCTTAAACAAGAAAACGATAATCTCTGAGTGGAGAATGGTTTCTTGAAGCAGGCCTTAAGTAGCCCCATATGCAACAAATGTAGCGGTCCAGCAGTGCCTCTGTCTTCCTCGCCCAATCCTAATGCATTAGCAGCTATGGTTGAACTAGTTAAGATAGCTCAGATGGGTCATCCCCTTTGGATCAAAGGGCTGCATGATGGACCGGAAACCTTGAATATTGCAGAGTATGAGAGGATTTTCCCCTCTTGCATTGGCATCAAACCGAGTGGATACACTGTTGAGGCTACAAGGGAAACAGCCTTTGTTCCCCTTCGTGGCTTGGCCCTCATCGAGACGCTAATGGATGCGGTACGCCACCCCTTTCATCTCACTTGCTGCTAATGGTGGATCTCTGATATTATTGGTTTAATCTCAGTAAAGATATCTGAAGATTATGTCTAACAAGTTCCTTTTTATGCTAATTTATGAATAGAATCGTTGGGCCAATATGTTTCCCTGCCTGATTGCAGGAGCAGCAACGGTAGATGTGCTATCAAGCCGTACAGGTGGAACCAGAGACAATGCATTACAAGTGGTATCATTTGAACCCCCTCTGCTTTCCATCTTTATTATTATTTTTTGGTTCTGCTTAGTTTTGGCATTATGGAATATCATACTTGCAGATGGATGCTGAATTTCAAGTTCTTTCACCTGTTGTTCCTGTTTGTCGAGTTCGATTTCTCCGGTTCTGCAAGCAGCTTTCGGATGGTGTGTGGGCAGTTGTGGATGTTCCTATTGATCCTAGCAATGCTGCGAATCCGCAGATGTTTGCGAATTTTATCCAAGATATTGACAACAAATACACCAAGGTAATTACTGGCTTAAATGTTATGTAGAGAAATGTTTATTGTTAAAATTTGACATGAGCTCTGAAGTTTGGTTTTGATATTTGTTTCAAACGAGCATGCTTACAAGTTCCGAAATGCCAGGTTACATGGGTCGAACACTTGGAATACGATGAGAGCACAGTCCACCGTCTTTTGCATCCGTTACACGGTTCTGGTTTCGGCTTTGGCGCACAAAGGAGGATCTCCACTCTCCAAAGACAATGCCACCGGTTCGCACTACTATTGTCCCCTACTATCAATGGTGAAGGCAATGCAGGTTTGTTTTCTTCTTCTTCACTGCTATAATAAATAATTCTGATACATGCCATTCTGGCCCAGGAATCACTGCAGCTGGCAGGAAAAATGTGTTAAAGCTTGCTCGACGCATGACGTATAACTTCCTTGCCTGTATTTTTACCTTGAGTGAGCGTAAGGGTGTCGATGTTGGTTATGTTTGTAATGCGGGTGAAGACGTAAGGGTGATGGTTCGGAAGGATGCAAAATACCCTGGTGAGAGTCTTGTTCTGAGCAGTGCAACTTCAGTTTGGATGCCCATAACTCAGCAAAGGCTGTTTGATTACTTGGCGGACGTAGGGATGCGGTGTCACTGGGAGCTTTTGTCGAAAGAAGGATCAATGCCGGCAATGATCAGTGTTGCCAAAGGCCCGGGACAAGGCGACCGTGTCACTCTCTTTAGTAGTGGTCTCTCTACCAACGGCATGATAACTTTACAGGAAACTTGGAGCGATGCGTCCGGTGCGATGATTGCGTGTGCACTTTTCGATGGACCCTCAGCTAGTGTAGCGATGAACGGCGGTGATACGTCACACTTGGTAGTATTACCGACGGGATTCACAATACTTCCGGGCGATTATCATGGTGGTGAGCGGCAAAGCAACTCCAATGGGAGTGGATGCTTGCTTACTTACAATTGGGTATGAGCTTCTGGTGAACGGTAAGCTAACTGTGGAAAGAGTCGAAAGGGAATGCAAAGTCTTATCCCATCAAGTTCACACTATCAAAGCTGCCCTTTCAATACCATAGCTGGATCCTTCATACCTAAATTTACATTTTGTATTTTACATACATTTAAACATAATAATAATAATAATAATAATAAGAGTTAATTGCATCATACATCCTTAAATTATGACCCTCTATTTAAATTGGTCCCTAAACTTTTTAACATTCCAATTCCATCCCTAAACTATGATTATCATTCTAAATTTGTCCTCAAACTTTGAATATTTATTTTCATCCCCAAACTATATCCTTCATTCTAAATTATTCCTCAAATTTTTTCACCATTTCAATTTCATCCCAAATTATATGTATGTACTAATTGTATTCCATTTTAATAAAATTGTTAGGTCAAGCTATATTATTATATGTTTGAAAAAAATAACGTTTAAGTTAAATTATGGTTAAAACTAATTACATATTTGGATGAATTTGGGGTCAATTTAGAATAAGGGTCATACTTTGAGGATGAAATTGGAATGTTCAAAAGTTTAAGGACTAATTTAGAATGAATATCATAGTTTGATGATAAAACTGAAATATTCAAAAATTTAGTGACCAATTTAGAATGCGAATCATAGTTTAAGGACATATGATGCAATTAACTCTAATAATAAATTATATCAAAACTCTATCTTATGGATAGATATAGATATTCACGTAAATATCACTATATAGAGATCCACAAATCATTAGACGTATTTTAAAGTTTTTTATAACTGCCAGAGTAATAAAGTAACTATATCCACCACAAAGTAATTTAAAAAAATTCTTCATAATTCAAGTCGTATTTTATATTTTTAAGACTTACTCATTTATGACCCACTTAAATAGCGCTTTTCTATTTTAATCAATCTTTTTTATATCTATATTCTTTAATAGATTTCAATTCAAGATCCTCGTATAAATTAACATACAACTTATAAACTAATAGGCTTGTGAAATTATCAAAATTTCACCACCAACTATTTGGTTTAATAAGTATAAAATTATTTCAGTTTAATTAAGTATTTAAATTTGAATCATTAAAAATATAACAATACAATTAAACTAATTTCTACTTAAACCATTAAAAATATAAAAATCGTGAGCCAATAATAACGTTGCTAGTAATGAAGGGGCTAATTTGTATCGAGTAGTAGCTAAAAGTATTATTAATTTTATATACAGTTATAATTCTCATTTTAAATTTATCTTTTAATTTTTGAATATTTTACTTTCATCCCTAAATTATGACCCTCATTTTAAATTAATCTTTAAATTTTTTAAAAATTCTAATTTCATCTCTAAACTATGACCCTCTTTTTAAATTAGTCCCAAGACTTTTGAACTTTCCAATTTCATCCCCAAATTCATCCAAATACAATATTAGTTTCAACCATAATTTAACCTAAATTTTGTTTTCTCAGATGTATAATAATATAACTTGGCATAACAATTTTATTAACAAGAGATGTGATTAGTATATACGTATAGTTTGAGATGAAATTGGAAAGTTCAAAAAGTTTGGGGGACCAATATTGAATACAGGTCATAGTTTGGGGATGAAATTGAAATGTTCAAAATTTTAAGGACTAATTTAAAATGATAGTCATAGTTTACTGATAAAATTAGAAATTTTAAAAGTTTAGGGATCAATTTAAAATAAGAGTCATATTTTGAGGACACGTGATGCAATTAACTCTTATAATTATAATAATTTAAGTATACACCAGCAAGTGCATGATTTTGTACTGATATTTCCATTCCAGCTATAGCACATTAATGAATATATATAACTGGCCCTTGAAGTTGACTGAAATGATAACAACTCTGTTTGATTTTTAGAGAGTTTATTACGTTAATTAAAATCTGGGTAAACTACAACCATGACCATTTAACTATGAGAAAATTTAAATCTAATCATTATCTTTTAATTTTGTTAACCGGACTATTTAACTATTTAAATGGTGTTAATCAAACAATCTATTGTTAACATTTTATGGAGGAATTGATATGGTCGTTAACAAAATTGGTATAATTTAGTTTTCATTACTTATATATTCTATTAATTTGGTTTTAATTGGGATTAAATGTGTAATTGTACCAATTTTGTTAACACCCATTATAACTCATCCATCAAATGTTAACGGTAAATTACTTGATTGTCATTATTTAAATAATTGAATAATCTGATCGATAAAATTAAAAAATCGAATCAAATTAAAATACTTCATAAATGGTTACGAGTATAGTTTACTCTAAAAATTTTGGTAGGAATGAAGTTAGGAGAAAATCATATATATTTGGTGATGCTTAGTCGACATCTACCAAAATTTATTGAATTTGTAAAATAATATTACAAGGGTATTAATTTATTGGGTAAAGTGTACAAATGGTCCCTTGACTATAGGGTGATGTTTTGTTGAGTCCCTCGATTATTAAAAGTTGCAAAATGGTCCTTCAACTATAGGGTGTTACTTTGTTGAGTCCCTCAACTATTAAAAGTTACAAAATGATCACTCAATTATTTAGTAAGTTCCATACTCATCATTTTCGTTAAAAAATTGACGGCAACCTGAACTGAATGTTAACATGATGACTGAGATATGATAAAATTTGATCTTATAATCTAAAAAAACTATCATATCTCAGTCAACATATTAACATCCAACTGAGACTGTTGTCAATTTTATAACGAAAAACGACGAGTTTGGAACATACTAAATAGTCGGGTGGTCATTTTGTAACTTTTAATAGTGCGAGAACTCAACAAAGCAACACCTGGTAGTCGAAGGATCATTTTGTAATTTTAATAGTCGAGGGACTCAACAAAGCATCACCCGATAGTTGAGGGACTATTTGTGTACTTACCCTAATTTATTTCAACTAAGAAATTTAGGGGGTTTCATGCCATTCAGTAGTGCCGAATGTCGCTTGGGCAAGTTAGCGAAACCCAAATGAACCAAATATTTTAAATAAGAGTTAATTGCACCATATGTCTATAAACTATGATCTTTATTTTAGATTGGGTCCTAACCTTTTCAACATACCAAATTCTTCCTCAAACTATAACCCTCATTATTAATCCCCGAACTTTTAAATATTCTAATTTCAACTTTGAAGTTTTGAATTATTTAGGGGGATATTATTAGAATATTCAAAAGTTTGAGGATTAATTTAGAATAAGGGTCATAGTTTGAGGATGATTTTGGAATGTTCAAAAGTTTAAGGACTATTTTAGAATGGGAGTCATAGTTTGGGGATTAAATTAAAATATTCAAAAGCTTAGAGACTAATTTAACATAAAAATCATAGTTTAGAGATGTATTTTGCAATTAACTCTTTAAATAAATACATAAACCATCTTCCACACCATGTTCCAGAAAAGAAGATGCATTATAAGTTTGTAACCAACATTTCTTTACCAATATTATCGAGCAAAGCGGAAAGAGTTGGGACAATCCTTGAATAAAATTTTGGATTAAAATATTGAGTTAATTGCACCATATGTCCATAAACCATGATCCTTATTTTAAATTGGGCCCTAAAATTTTGAACATTCTAATTTCATCCTCAAACTATGTTTTCATTTTAAATTAATCCCCAAACTTTTGAACATACCAAATTCATACCCTAAAGTATAACCCTCATTCTATATCAATCCCCAAACTTTTAAATATTCTACTTTCAACTTTGATATTTTGAAAGATTTAGGGGGATATTATTGGAATGTTCAAAAGTTTGGAGACCATTTTAAAAATGAGAGTCATAGTTTAAGAATGAAATTAAAATATTTAAAGTTTAAGTATTAATTTAAAATAAATCATAGTTTAAGGATATGTTGCAATTAATTCTTTAAATAAAGACTCATAAACTACTTTCACAAGGTAATGCCATTTAAACCGTCTGATATGCTTTTATCATGTGCAGTATGTAATTAGCATCTTAAGTGACGTAGAATTTTATGTACAAACTTTTAAAAATTTAAGGCGAGTAAATTTATAAAATGTTAAAAAATCGAAAATAAATTATTAATAAAAAATATCTAAAATATATAATATTTTAAAATTTGAGATATTACTATCCCAATCACGCCTCGACCGGTCTCGAGCAAGCTGCCTATGAGTATGTTAAAAAGATTAATCAACCAAGTCTATGTGCGCATCAAAGATTCAAATCTCCATGTCGCCATCTCCTTTATCACCACCCCATACTGTGATATTTTCAACTAAAATATCATTATAAAAGCATAGCATAAATGAATATTTTTAAAGGCAAATTACAGTTTGAATAGGAAAAAGAAAAAGATCTTTGGTCAAGAATCAAGGCTGGGTGAAAAATATCTTCCAAAGTAAGTCAACAATTCAAAATCCCGGAAAGTGAAGTAAATGGTGTGGGGCTGAATAAAAGAAAGAATACCCTTGAACAAGGTACACCCTATTTCAACATATTCTACTTAGAAACCCCATGGAAATTAAATGAAAAAGGGGTCCCAGAGTTCATCAGTTTGGATGCAGCATCAAAACTGGGACACCCTATTTCTCTTCTTTATCTTCTCTTCTGGTTTCAATCTGTGGGACAAAAAACACACATATTAACAGCTTTTTAGGTTTAGCCATGAATAATAACTTGTTTTAAAAAGATTTTAGGGGCTTCATTTTTTTTTTTAAAATAACACATGACCTGCACATCATTTGGGACGGGCACGGTGAACAAGGGTAACTAACCTGATCTTGTGATGAAGCAAGAGGATTAGAGGATGATCTTCTATCAGGCCTGACCTTCATTTTGCATCGGTTTGTGCCAGTAAAACCTAGTGCAGGGGAAACCCAAAATGATGAAATAAAAGGTTGAAAAAGGAGCACAAAATAAAAGCATGCAGGCGGATTAGAAGTTAAGGTTAAGGAATAATACGTGAAGTAGTATGATTCCTTGTGGTGGGAGCATTGTGTTTGCAGTTGAGAGTGGAGTCGGAGGTGTCAGGAAGTTGACGATCCAGACGGAGATTAAAACGATCGTTGCTGTCAAGCATAGTACATACGAACCATGCTTCCATGGAGTTGAGGAAGTTGACATGCTTCTCCTCCGTCCACGACTCTTCGTTTGGGTTGCTGGGCACGTGTGAGTCCATCTAGGCCCGTCCCCGAAAAACAAAACAGGCGGTGGTGTTCAAAATTAGAGGGGATGGAAATTTTGCAGTGCCATAACTGGAAGATCAGGGGTTTTATAGAGTGGGGGCGTAGGGCAAAGGTTCATTTTTCACCGACTTCAACTAACATTATTATTATTATAACACGAAATTCAATGACAACGATATTAAAAAATTATTATTTTTTAAATTTTAAATTAATTATTTTTAAATAAATATTATCTTATATTTATTACAAATTAATTAAATAACATTATACAAAAGCTGAGACGTGAGGCTACCAATGTTTTCCATACTCGCTGCTCCTAACCGACACCTATTTAGGATAAATGGTTAAATCAGCGAAATAATATGAAATTTTTTAATTTCACACAAACAGTGATCCTCTAACTTAAAAAAAAATTTATAGTGTACTTTTTAACTAATGAAAAATAATAAAATGTTATATCACCAATTTTTATGGACTATCATATGTCATATTAATTTTATAGATTATCACGTTAATATTATGAAGTATTACGTCAATATCATAATGATCAATAAAAAAAAGTATTGGTCAAAGAGTTAAATTAAATCCTTTTGTAAGCTTGAAGGCCTCAAATACCCTTTTTATTATATAATTATATTTTAAAAAATTGAAATATCATAATTTTATATTTCTACATTCGATTTTAATTATTTTTTTCTAAAATTCACATAAATTTATATGATATATGTTCCAATAAGGAGTTGAAGATATTTTGTCGTTGTTTTTATTCATTTTAATTTTAAAATTTTTATTAGTAATTTTAAATACTTGGTTTTAATTTTTAATCTATTGGACTCAAAATTTTAATTTTTATATACATAAATATATTATTTATAAGGACATGACACGTGCAATTTTATTGAAAAATTTAATCTTTATAGTTTTTCTTCCTTTCAATTTGATCATGCATTGCAAACAAAAATTGCAACCAAATCAAAGTCTAACAACTGTCACATACTTCTTTGGATTTCACCATTGGTACCTGATTGATCGATCGATTGTTTTGAATCTAGTTTTGCGGAAACCTATTATAGGGGAGATCTTCCCAACCTAATTGCTCCATTCACAAATGTCTGGATTCAAACTTCGAACCCTACTTAAAGAATCTAATGTTTCATCTCATTAGACTACCTGATTACTGGTCAACTATCACGTATTCGATGATATAGCAATTAATAAATAACAAATCAAAATTTTAAAAATATTAATAAATATCAAAATTTTAATTATTTAAACATGCATTTTACTTCAAAAATATACTTTTTTTAAAAAATTAATCACTTTTTTACATTTTAGTCTCACTTTAAGTTAGGGGTGATCGTTCGATTGAGTCGAGTAAAATATTTTCAAGTTGTTCAAGCTGATGAGCCTTATTTTATAACTCAAAATTCATTTGAGATTTTTTCCAGTCAAGTTTATAAAACTTGAGTTTTAAATCAAATTTTTGTTTAAATTAAAAAAAAAAACAAGGTATGCTAATATATCTCTGATAAATCTGTAAAATTAAAAATTCTATAATAAACCGTTATTTTTATCATAATAGACAATTTAATAAACGTATTTTTATTTTATTTTTTAAAAATATCTACTTCCTTTTACATCATTGGTTGATGTTTTTAAATACTTTTATTGCAGGTGAGATGGGTGAAAAAAATATCTGGGGCAGTTCGGGGGCACTAAAGTAATAAAATTGGATTTTAAAACAAAGATATTTTGGGGATCAACAAACGAATCTGCTTTTTATTATTGCTCTGTTTGTTTACAAATCATCAGCTTTTTCCTTCCGATAAAATTTAGAAATATCGTGGGTGGAATTAATATATATATATATATATATATTTTTTTAGATTTAAGTTATTTGTTATAATATGCGTAAAATTTGTTACGAGGAAATAAAAAAAATTGTATGGAAATCGTTAGGAAGATACAATAAATTTGAATTATTTATTATATTTTATGAAACTCGTTATTCTTTCCTGACAAATTCCCTGATGAATTTGAATTCAACAGGTTCTTCCAATATGTTAATTTTAATTAAGAAAATAAACATTTAAAAAGTATTTTTCAATGTTTAGAAAGTTTGACTAAAGGGAAATATCTTCACTTGTATATTGCTTGAGGGATTGTCTTACCTTTATAAGCATGGCTTGTGAATATATTTTGTATTAAATAGTTTTTCCTCTTGTATGTAAACAACAAAATACCAAGATAATATCTTAATAATTCATTCACCCCATATGGGATTTTTTTATTATAAAATTTATTTTAAAAAATTGTCATAAAAAATATCAATGAACTTGAAGGATGAGTTTGGTGAAGGTGGCGAAGTGGGTTTGCAGTATTTAAGATTGAACTTTCATGGAAATTTCATTCACAATCACATGGACTTTGCCTAATGGTACTATACGTGTATCTACAGTTACGATGCAAAAATATTTTTAGGATAGACACATATGTATTATTAATAAAAAAAATCGTATAGAGCAGATACAAATAAAATTTTAAGATATATATCATTAGTAAAATAAACAGCTAACATAAGAATATTCGAATTTCAATATGAGCATGTGTTTACTCTGACGTACACTTAGATCCGTCACTGTATATGTCTAGGGATCAAGAAGGATCCGACAAGTTAAATGGATCTGATTCGGATGTTATGTCCCATGTTTCGTCTGCTACACAAACATATTGTCCTTCCAAGGTGCAGCTAACTAAATCACTAGGAGACTCATCTGCTGAATTCAAATGTACTATACAATCAGTTTAGATTAATTATGATAAATTTTGGAAAATCGAGAGGATAAAAAAATAAGTTAAACTATAAAAATATTTGATTTTATTTCATAAGTGTTCATTTTTAGATACATACTTTTTGAAGAAATATTTTTTAAATTATTTATGTTATCGATTTATAATATTTTATATTTGTGAAACTTTCAAAGTTTGATTTACTGGCTTATGGTGATTTTTTCTTTGAGAATTTGATGAAAAATGCTGCCCAAGGGGCAGTATTTATTTATTTATTTATTTTGATTAATTCAGGGTAAATACAAGGTAATATATGTTCAAAGAACATTTTCAACCTCTCGATATTAAATGCTCACACTTCTGGTATTTATGGTGCTAGAATCCGAATCCTCAAAGAACAACAACAATTTTATTTTACCAAGGAACCACTTGGTTCATGCAGGGATAATAGTTTGAAATATACATTAGAAAAATATCTCAAGGAACATGTGGTTTCAAAATTTCTCAATTTAAATAATATTATTATATTTACTTTTCTTAATCAAATCAATCATTATTATTTTTATAAACATAAATTATATTTTTACAAATAAATAATGACACAAATAAAAAAATATTTTTTAAAAAAGTCGCTAGAAACTATTGACACAAAAAATTAGTCACTTGAGATCATATAACTATTGACACAATAAACTTGTCTCTTTAGATCATATAAGGATTAAACAAGGAAAAAGCTAAAAATACGAACAAAAAATAGATACGAATAGATCTGACATTATCGATGAATGAACAACAAGATTACAATGATAAAAGGATTATGGAGGTTGGTTCACCATCAAAACGAGAAATAATTAACTTGAGAAAATTGATAAAATCTTAAAAATTGGAGGTAAAACGATTCGAGTCGAGTTGTAATAAAGAGGACAAGGGTATCTCAAGTCAGGCTCATATTTAGTATGGGTTTGGGTCTTTGGGTATGCTTGAACAAAGTTGGGGTCAAATATTTTTATGTGTATACAGGGACGAACCAATCCCGAAAAGAAAAAATTTATTTAATAAATAAATAAATATATATATAACTTGAATATTTATGGGATAATTATAAATTATCTCGTCACTTCTTCTAAAAAAAAGTATCATTGTTTTAAAAAAAAATCAAATTTCAACTGGAATTTAATAGTAGAATATGAAAACTAGACTGAACGAGACTAGATTAAAATTGAATAATTATTAGAACAATTAACTAATGGTCAAATTCAGATAATAAATTAATCAAATCGAATATCTAATTTTTGAGTTGCATACTCTATCTATTTTTGGCCTAATATATCTAGTTTAATTCTTGTTTTCTTTAAATATATAAATATTTTTGTTATTTGATAAATTGAGAAATATAAATAGACTCTTATGTTCATTTAAACTTAAATGATATTATAAGATGTTATTTATAAATATGCTGACATTTGTGGATGACTCTACAATCCATATTAAGATGTTATTTAAACTTAAATGATATTATAAGATGTTACTAAAATTTTTGTTACATCCTATAGACTTAGTTACTCAAACTCCAATCCTCTATATAGAACTACGTTCCTTTTTATCATTAAAACCACTCAATCGGAGTAAATGTTATAAATTCAAGTGTACTAAATACACATATTATCCTCGTATAACTTAGTCATTGCATAAAAAAATATTGATCTTTGATTTGTTAACATTCCAACTGAATTTGTCAATGAACACATGTTAATCACATTGTTTCAAAAACCTCGCCCCTATCTTATTCGTCCCAAAAATAGAAATGTCGCAACACTTGATACAAACATGCCAAGTTAGGGGAACTTGTATGCAAGTCTAAGTCAAAAACTGGAAAAAATTACATGGCCAATAATTTCCTTGGCACCAAAACATCATCAAAGGATGTCAACAGGGTCAGCTTACAGGTCTCGGACCCTGTTCCGGTGACTTTACAATCCATTAGCTGAACCTGCAGAAGATTTTTGAGGCACAGTCGCAGTGATTGCTTCTATTTCTATGTCTTTGACACTAGAGCTTAATGATGACGACGGATCGCCCTCCACAGCATCATCTTTGTCCTCGAGGGAAAGAACCTTTACGTCACAATTCCTTTATCTTCAGAAACATCATAGTGTGCTTTTCTAAGTTCCTGAAAACTCATACCACTCCGATCTGCTTCAGCAGAATAGGCTTTGAACTATCAACCACAGATTGAACACAAGACAGCAAATCATAAACAAAGTAATCAACCAAAAGAGGTAAAGTAGATTGGGAGGTGAATGAGCGGTGTCGAACCTTCTTTGCTGCGGAAGTGAGTAAATGTATGATTTAAGACATCTTATTTATTTCTGTTTAATTGCTAAATAATTGAAAGTTCAGTAGAGAAACCCAAGAGAAAATGGCACGAGAAGATGACAAGTTCATTGCATTACATGTCCTCAAAGTATGAGACTCATTTTAAATTGGTACCTAAACTTTTAAATGTTCCAATTTCATCCCTAAACTATAACTATCATTCTAAATTAGTCCTCAAACTTTTGAACATTTCAATTTCATCCCCAAAATATGACCTTCATTCTAAATTGGTCCCCAAACTTTTTGAATATTCTAATTTCATCCCAAACTACACGTACATACTAATCACGTCCCATGTTAATAAAACTGTTAGGACAAGTTATATTATTATATGTTTGAAAATAAAAATTTAGATTAAACTATGGTTGAAACTAATTACATATTTGGATGGATTTAAGGATGAAATTGGGATATTCAAAAAATTTAGGGAGCAATTTAGAAAGATGGTCATAGTTTAGGGATGAAATTAGAATGTTCAAAAGTTTAATGACTAATTTAGAATGAGAGTCATAATTTGGGGGTGAAATTAGAATATTTAAAAGTTTAAGGATTAATTTAAAATGAATGTTATAGTTTGGAGACATATAATGCAATTAACTCCAAGATGACAATTCCTATCCTAGCCATAAGGCAAACCAAGCTGTAACCCTTTTACTGATGTTCAACTATGTGAATCTTTCAACCAGGCACACCAGTGGGTAAATCCTGACCATTTCAGCAATCAACCTCCAACCAAATAAAAAAAAAAACTACTTTCTTGAAAAGATAATATTACAAGGAAACACAAGAAAGGGTACGGCTAGGTAAAGTGAGGTCGCACAATTTAATTTGGTTTCCCCGCTTAAATTCCAAAGAATTCCACCATAGCCTGGATGGCCACCCTCAATGGTTTGCTTACTTAAGACGTGTTAGTCTGTAGACTGTAGAGGAGAGAGCATAAATGGTTCTTGTGTGTTCTGCCAGGAGCTAGAGACTAGAAATAATCTCTTGTTTGAATGTACCTTTGCAAGGGAGATATCCTCAGACTAAGTTGCAACGAGGAGTTGGAAACTGGAATCTGTAGCTTGGGTAGTCTCTAAGCTGAAACAAAAAAGGCCTTATTTTGATTGTCCTTAGGCTAGCATTGAGTGCTCACATTTACCTAGTGTGGCAGGAAAAATGACATTTCACTCGGCAAACAAATGCAGATCAGGAGGTCCTTGCAAAAGTGAAGGAGTTGGTTAAGCTTAGATTATCAGGTTCAAGATTCTGTGAACAAAAGGCTATCTGATGCATGTGGTATAGTTAGTGCTTAGTAAGAATTTATTAGTGAACTGTAAGTACATTTTGATCTGAAGTGCATATAGTTGGTTTCTTGTCTGATTACAATTCATAGCAGAAAAATTTCCCCGTTTTGTTTGTAGATAGTATCTCGCTGGCAGATTGTTTACTTTGTAGCAGCTCTGCTACTTTCTAGATAAATGCGTATATTTTATTCAAAAGAAGAAAAAAAGGAAGAAGATAAACTGATAAACCAGTCATTAGAAATGCTAATCCACGTAAAGGAAAGTAAAACGTTTTAAATATGCCAGGGGAAAAGGAAAACATAATAGCAATGATTAACAAACCTTCTTCGTCCGCCTCATCCTCAGAAGATGTCCAGCAACTAGATTGCCCAGTTGTTTTTCTACTCGAGGAAGCCACATCCTTCAAAGCAGAGCGTAATTCCTCAGCATCCATAGCATGACCGATACAATCATTGAAACCATGCCCTACAGGAGACGAGGACCCTACAACCAAGATCCAGATTACAAGGTGAGAAATGTAATTGGATTTTTAGAATGAAGCTCTAACCAAAAGCAGAAAATATTGGGGGAAAAAAATAGACCAACACCATTTTTGAATATTTACACACATATCTACGCATGAAATAATAGGCTTATGAAGGGCAAACGCTATGCATACCATCATCATCATCAATCATGGGGTGGTACGGCATTGGGTTCAGTTATTTTCTGCCTTACAGGTTTATTTGCTTCGATTTCCACTAGATTTTCCTCATTCCATCACGTCTACTGTTACCCCAACAAAGGATTATTTATTACTTACTAGATCCAAAACACAGCATAGAAAAATGTGATTCTTAAAAAAGAAAGCAAGAAGAATTCCTTCTTCAGTAGCAAATAAAAATAAAAATGGGAGCATAAAAATGAATAAATAATGCTAAATGGGAATCTACTACACAAGCAGCTAATCCTAAGACCACTTGACTCAAGAAACTGGATTTGGACTCCAGCCGGCTTAATTTTAGATGTGTTTACTAGTCCTTCCTTATGACTGCTATATTCTTATAATGCCCTGTCACTAATCACATCATATAAATAACTAAAATAGGCACATTTATCCCATTTCCACTGGTGCGATAGGGCCATTCACTGTTACATTTTAAGAGCTTTTCTTAACTGAAGAAATACCTCACGAATGCTATTTAATTTGAACAATCTGTACGGTTGAAATGATAAAGAAAGCCACCGGGAACTACTTAGCTGAAACCTAAATAGGGAGAATGAAGGCAAAGAATTGAAGCGGAAGAACTTGAAATTGTTTAGAAAAGCAAGAACATGATTCAAATATGCCATCAGTTTCATATAAAATGTTATGATGAATAATGATAAAACAATTTTTTTATATAAAATGTCAACATTAACCACCAATCATTCCATTCCCTCCCCTTCTAAAATGCAAATGGAAAGGACAGAAGAAAAAACATGGAAAATTCGGATTTACGTCATCTGGAAAACTCCCGAGTGCCAGCAGCAAGCTTCAAATAGCCCTGATCCACTGAAACATTATAATAATCACTTTATCTACACTAATACATGGAGAATGAAGCATCTAAAGTTTAAACGATTTGCAGATAAGACAGTGATATGATGATTCATGCTATAATCAGGCTAGCTTGTTGTTATTTAATGTAAAGCCTATGATAGCAAGGTAAGAACCAAACCAGAATGAGCTGAAAGGAAAACAATGTATTGAGTGGATAAAAATGAGAATTGAGAAATTAGGTACTACCGTACTAGAAAACACCAGTGGTCAAGACTCAAGATACCGAGTTGTGTATGAAGGCTAGCTATTCAAACTCCAGAGAAAAACTATGCAAAACATCATAATAAAAATCCTAATAGTTCCACGTGCGGGAAAAATTACACAAGATAATTGATGCAGGAGCATCGAAGATTAGTTTAATTTAATCTAGTTATGTGACAAGGATAGTATAGGACTCTTAGTAAGAGATTCAGTAGAGAGTAAATAGGACTTTAGTGATTTTTTTTATATATATAAACACTGAACATACAATTTGAAATAATAGAAAAGCACAGATAGAATTAATCTATATGCAAAATGGACTATGTCTATGCCAGTGAACTAATTTATAAGTCAGAAACATCAGAGAACGAAACCGAAAGTGTGCATATAAATTAGTCAAATAAGAAACTGAAAAATCCTAATTAAATGAATGAAGTACAATTACATACAAGTAATGAAACCTAGAATGAGAAGAACGATGAAGTAAAAGTGTGAAATTGCATAATAAAAAGGAAATAACAATCCACTGAACAAACTATAAAGGAATAAGCAATCCAATCCATTTGATTCATCCAAGGATCCGCCATTCTACTACGTTTGGTTGTTGTGAAAATGGAGGGAACAGATACAAGAAAAGTCTAAAACAGCCACGTTAACTCCAACAATCATTAACAAATCCAATAAAAAGAAAGAATTTCCCATTCTTTTCCATTTTCACCAAACCAAATTCAAATGGAAAGAAGAAAAACAGAAAGAAATTTGCACCTTTTGATCGCCCTCTTTACTACCAAAGTTTTGATGGTAAAAGGTATTATTGTTATTACTTATAGGATCAGATTCGAATACCAAAAATACTAAAAATACGAATTTTCAATATGAAAAGGTGGAGAATTATGTTGAATAATTATTTAAAGATAAAACCGACTTAGATCTTGCCACGTAAGAGAGACGGGACCCATTGACGTGGTTCAGGGGCAATACTGTAATACGAAAACTGAGGTACGGAAGGGAGGAACAAATCAAAGGAGAGGTTTTGGTTGGAAATTTGAACAGCGGGAGTGGCCAAGCCAGAATTTCTGCAATCAATTTCCATCGGAAGTGAGGATCATTTCTCTTTTTCCTTCCCAAATTCTATTTGTTTGGATCTAAGCTTTTCGTTCTCTCCTCTCTCTCCTTTTTTTTAAATACCTAAATATGTGGTAAATTTTTCATATTGATCTGTCTGTTCTTGCTATGGATTTTTATTTTTGAAAAAAAAAAAGATCTGGATCTGTTTGTTTTGTTCTACTTTTTTCATGCTTGCTGGTTGATTTCTTTTTTTTATTTGATATGAGATCTCAGCTTTATATTCTCACCGCTGAAACGGATCTAGTTCATTCACGGTTCTTGTAAATTTTCTTACGAATGAATATTTTAGTTTTTCTTTTAAGGAAACGGTGATTGGATTTGGCATGCTAATATTTTGGAACGGAACAATGACTGTTGAATGTTAGTTGCATCTTGAGATGTTGTGGATTCAATAGTCTAAAAAGCTGGAAAAAAGATGCAAAAGTCGTTTCCATGTTCGATGATTTGTTGGATAACACGCGTCTGATAGGGCTTATTTTTAACTTAAACTCGAAGAGTTGTCTGAATAACTTGAGCAATGAAAACTATGACTTTACTAGGCTGAGTTGTTTGTATTTGATTTGCTTGCTTTGATCTTTTAATTAATTCTTCTTGTTTAATGTTTACTCACTTCTATTTTCAAAACTCGGGACTGTAAATTATGACAATAAGAGGCGGATATTTTTAGTGTTGAAGACCGGAAGGAGCAAAATAACAGATAAGAGTAAGCAAGGAAGAGATGTTCTCACTCTTTTATGGACTTTGGAAGTACATATTTAGTAAGACAGAGTTTCATGTACTCATTTTGGAATTGACAAGGCTGGGAAAACGGTAATGTCTTTCAACTTATTTATCCTGCTTTAATGTATATCTTCGGTTTGTTCCTGGAAGATAACCAAGGAATGTATTAGGCTTCATATATATTGAACTATATGCTAAAAGTTTAAACTTTCAGGCTTTAAGCACTGATCTTTTTTGGTGTTTGTAATCAGACTTTGTTGGAGAAGCTGAAGTCGGTATACTCAAAATTGGAAGGCCTACCACCTGATCGAATTGTTCCAACTGTGGGGCTTAATATTGGTCGGATTGAGGTGTCAAATACGAAACTTGTGTTTTGGGACCTAGGAGGCCAGGTGAGTGGAATGTGCATGCATAAAGTAACACAATAGATTAATTTGTACTATGGTGATTTGCATGCCCATTTAAGTCGTGCTTCTGAATTCTACTAAATATATTGTCCAGTAGAAAGCTTTCAATCTAATAACTAATTTAGCTGCGGTGTAATTTTAATAGAACTGACAATATGCAGATGAATGTTTTATGCTTAAACCTTGGTATTTGATTCTATAGTTTTATGTCTTGCATTAAACATATATACGGAGCAAGCTTCATATGCTAAAATCCGTCTTTCTCAGCCTGGCCTTCGCTCAATTTGGGAAAAATACTATGAAGAGGCACATGCTGTTATTTTCGTAATTGATGCTGCTTGCCCTCCCCGTTTCGAAGACTCAAAATCTGCACTTGGTAAGTAATGTCTAATTCTTGATAAAGGCCTTATATTGTTTCAGTGCCAAGGCATTGCATTGACTACAGTTTTGAACTTGTCGAGGTTTTTTGATGCTCATATATCGACTTACTAATACCTTGTATTCTGTATCTAGAAAAAGTGCTTAGGCACGAAGATCTGCAGGGAGCCCCTATCCTGATATTAGCAAACAAGCAGGTACTACTAGTCCTATATGTTAATCCCAAATCCCTAAATTTTGGGATATATATATATTAGTATTAGGCATTGACAATGAAAATTCTTCCCTTTTTTTAAGCATCTATGCCACATACTAGTTTGTATATTGCATCTCTCTTCTTGCGGCATTCTTATTTATTGCTGCATTCAGTGCCTTATGTTTTGCATTTTTCTTTTTGGCTTTTTGGAAACTTGAACAAACTTATTGGCATTTAGAAAGTATGAGGTAAAAGGAGGACGTGTTGGGTGATTATGGTTTTAACAGTTGTGCTTCAATGCAGGATCTCTCTGAAGCTTTATCAGCTGAAGAACTTGCTCGATATCTAGATCTTAAAAAATTGGATGAGAGGGTATACATGTACGAGGCTGCTTCTGCTTTTGATGGGTAAGCTCATTCATGAGAAATCTCTGATCTCCATCGAATTTGAGCTCAATATTTCTGCCTGGATGCAATAGGAATCTTACATCCAATAATTATTATTAACCATTCACCCAAAGGTTTATACAGTCTTGTATGGGTATGACCATTATTACCAACCATCCTAGTTTTCCAGACAACAGATATAATCATTACAGTGTTTTCCCATGCAGGATGGGGATTAAAGAAGGTGTGGAGCGGTTGGTGGAGGTAATGGAGAGAAGCAAGAGAACCGAAACATTGAGAATGCGTGCAGGGCTGCAGGCATAACTGGTAAGAATTAGAGCTTTTAAAGCAGTTGCTTCACCCTGATTTTGTTGCTTTTGTAAATAAATCAGGGTTCAGATTAGGTTTAATGCTGATTAAAACTTAAAAGTTAAATCATTTTTCCACACTCTAAGCCATTGAGTTATTCTTATTTCTAATTTTGTTGTTTTAGTGATGTGTGAAATTCGGATAAATACAAATAATGTCTTGCAAGTTGTCGCCATGGGAATGGCTTCTCAATCCTCATTTATACTAGTTGTAAAAGATGCTTATTTTATATGAGAAAGAATTCAATTTGAAAGGAGTACTTAAAATTACAGAGCCAACGTTCCTGCTTGGTCTCCAAGTATCCAACAGCCTTCTTGTTTAATGTAATACGTATAATCGAACCAGGCCGAAAAGCAAGTTTTTGACATCCCCATTTATTTTTGATGAACTAAATATTGAAGCAAGTTTGCTACAAGAGTATCTGTATACAGCAAGCTTATATATGAATAAAGATTCACAGAATGCATCAATTTAAACAACATTACTCTATATCGAATGACATCTTCGGTAGAAGACCTGTGACTCATTCGAATCAATAATGTATCACTCCTCCTTACATCGGCCCCAGAAGACTTTTCCTCATTTACGACAACTGCACTTCGTGATGGACCATCTTCAGCTGGCTTCGCTTCACTCTCGGTAGCTCCTGAGGCTTCACCACTGTCATCCCCTTCTGTTACTGGAACAGTCTTCTTGAAGGTTCCGACCTTAACATATTTGCTCATGAACTTGTATTCCCAATCTTGCAAAGCGTCCAATTCGAATGGACCAAGACCTGATATGTCCCCGGTTAAATCTTTTTCTTCAAACGACATCTTTGCAAGAGCTCTGCCGGCATCCTTTCCAGCAAACAATGCATAAGGCCCACCTGGTCCATAAAACATTCTGCGAAGGAAGATTGCATTTAGATTACAGCCAAGGGAATCTCATTATTCATTTCATGCACAAATTTTTGCATGTATATAATCAGCCATACCTTGTTAAAATGACCACTTGAAAAAGTAAAGCAATACTCGAGTCTTCCCAACATAAGAGTATTATCAGTTGCACTAAACTTTGACACTTACAAAGCAAATGACCCTAAACCTGTGCCAGTTGATTACCTTTTCCACAATTTACAATAAATTTTAATACACCGTTTGAACAAAAAAGCACAAATTACTAAATGCAAATAATGCAAAACACTCCTATAGGAATAATCGAAGAAAATCTAAGCTTCAGAAACCATTTTACTGTTAGAAACATAAATTATTTAAATCAAA